CGTTATGACGGAAATTTATTTAGGAACACATCTCCCGAACGCATCCCCACGTCTCACAGAAAGGAAATCCACGTGGAGTTTTTTGTAAGCATGAAAATTGCTTTTATTCACGTTTTTTGCATGCTTCGGTGGAAACATACCCGTATGAAAGTACAGTATAAAAATTATGCTCGACTGTTCGAATTCATCACTTCAATACGTTGGACACAAAGAACATGCCTCGACTCACGGCAGAACAGAGAGAACGAGCTATTGGGATGTTGCAGCTGGGTGCTTCTCACAGTCACGTTGCAAGAATCATGGGTTGCAGCAAGAAAACCATCACCAGACTGATGACACGCTTCAGAACAACAGGTCGGACTGCAGACAGGCCTAGGACAGGGAGACCACCCGTAACCACCCCTCAGGAAGACTGCCATTTACGGGTGCTTCACTTGCGCAACAGATTCCTGACTGCGACGTCATCAGCAACAACCAGCCTTACCCATCCAGTCAGTAGAAGGACCATATCCAGACGACTCCGCCGATTCGGTATCAGAGCCTACAGACCATTCCGGGGCGTGACGTTAACGCGTGAACATCGACGTCGTCGCTTGGCTTGGGCACGTAGAGTTCGGCAGTGGCAGCCGCGGAACTGGCGCCGGGTACTCTTCAGTGACGAGAACCGCTTCCAGTTGAACAAAGCTGATGGTCGGGTACGAGTCTACAGATGTCGGAACGAACGCACAGCACGTTGTTGCTTTGGCTCAAGCTCTACAGGAAGAATGGCGTCGCATCCCAGATCACGTGATCAGACGTCTTGTGCACTCTGCACGACGTCGTGTGGCAGCATGTATCGCTGCAAGAGGTAGACACACTCGCTACTGAGGAGTTGGACACTCAAAGACACTCTGTCAGTACTGATGTGCATGTGTTGTCATGATCGAAACCCGGACATTTGAACCTCCTGTGAAAAACGTCACAAAAACTCTACTTACAGCAAATTGTTTCAATTGTTCTGTAATGACAGTCTGCATAATATGTTCAACAATTATATAAAACATTTCAACATTGAATTGCACGTGTTTGTATCATTTTATGATAAAAAAATGATCGGGGACGTTTCTTTTGCCCCTCAGTTTACTATCTGCTATCTCTTCCAAAGGTCGGAATAAGCTCGGATCGGAGGACACATTCGGGTGTTTGTGGTCTGCCTCAAAGTCATTGACCTGCATTATTTTCCCTTACTTACCTTCTGCAATACTTAAGCCCATACTGAAGCAAGTCGTATTTGCTCAGGTCTGAACGCCCCGTCCATTATCTCCATATATTTCTGTGTGGTTCCACTGTCCACGTTAATTACACCTATCCAGGGATGGACGAAGAAATGACTACCGCGAGTGAGATGGTGCAGAGAAGGTTGTGATCATTGACATATGGTCCTAGCTGTGCAAATGTCAAGAAGCTTTAGACTCTATTATAAACTCATTGACCATAATCTTGTCTCACAGTCCCTGAACCATTCTAGTTGCCCTTCTGCCCAATACTTTCTTTGACAGGAAAGACCTAAATGAAGCAAGGTATATATTTAAATTAGGTTCAGGTTTTAATATCATTTTCCATTTGAATTTAAGAAGAGCATTTTTCTCCACCAAACATATATTTTGAGAGACTAATTGTTCGTCTATCATTCTTTGTTAAACACTGACGAAATAACCACCGCATGCATACTTCTAGAAGCTCTTCTTTGTTGACCAACAGGAGTTGGACAATGTGTTATTGTCGAGTAAACGTGAAATAAACTGACAGTCAAAGACAATTTTGCTATCACATCTACATTAAAATACGGTTTTAGAGAGCACAAAGGAAACATTAATTTCAACAGTTATAACAGTGGTTCGCCCTTCGCGTTTCGACCAAGATAAACAGCAAGTTGTCGGAACAACATAGACTTGTTCTTTAAAACCCTCAGTTCGTTATGAGAGCCATCGGTATAATGACATTTATACCGTAGGCTATAACCACTAAAGTGGTTCCACTAAACCTTCAACAAAAGATTTTGCATTGAACACACTCATTGGTTGCTGAAGATGCAAGTGAGAACCTTAGCTTTATGGCATTTACAAAACCACCACCCCACTCCCCAAACATTACACACACACACACGCACGCACGCACGCACGCACGCACGCGCGCGCACGCACACACACACACACACACACACATACCAAAAGTAATTTCTGAAATAATTACACGACGCGGATTCACTTTTATCTTCAAGATAAAAGTGAAACATGTTGGAGAAGATCCGTGTCGTAAAATAAATATAATGAAAAAAATACAAAATGTTAAAGTAAATAAAATAATAGATAAATCAATAAAATGAAATCAAAACAGACCAACAATCGGATTGGATGAGTGAAAGACGCGTGTGATTCCTATAATAACTGCCAGCTTATGCCAAACATATCTGGTAAAGCTTCATATCTCTCTTCCATGGCACTGATGCATGCACTGAACCGTCTCAAGTCAGTTGTGGTCGGTTGAAACTAAGTGTCATGCATTTGTGTGGGATATCCATGGTAAACTGTAATCACAGTGGCACAACGCAACCAGTATAAGTTCTTACTAGTAGCAACACACACACACGAGCCCACAGACGTAACTACACACACGCGCGCGCGCACACGCACGTGCTTTACACTTCACCTCATACATGTTCCACCAAGTATCATATACATTCCATCAAAAGCCTAATCTCATCTATCTTCCAATAACCTAGTAACATATCCTCCGGTTATCTAACATCATACATCCCCCAATAACCTATCCCCGGATGCACTGGGTCTCTAATAATCTAGCATCATATATCGTTCATTAAGTTAGTCGCATATATCTCGCAATAACAACGTCACATATGTCCAAAAATAACATATTTTCATATATCCACTAATAACCTAGTGTCATATATCCCCAATAACCTGGTCTCATATATCTTCAATAACCTGGTCTCATATATCCCCAATAACCTGGTCTCATATATCCCCAATAACATAGTCTCATATATATCCCAATAACTTAGGCGCATATTTCAGTTAATAACCTAGTCTCATGTATCTTCCATTAGCATAGTCTCAAATATCAACCAATAAACTAGTCTCAAATATCCTGCAATACCCTCTTCTCATATATGCTCCAATAACCTCGTCTCATATATCCCATAATAACCTAGTCTCATATATCACCCACTAACCCAGTCTCGTATATCATCCACTAACTTAGTCTCACATATCACCCAGTAACCTTGTCTCACATATCACCCACTAACCTTGTCTCACATATCACGCACTAACATAGTCTCACATATCACCCACTAACCTAGTCTCATATATCACCCACTAACCTTGTCTCATATATCTCCCACTAACCTTGTCTCATATATCACCAACTAACCTAGTCTCATATATCACCCTCTAACCTAGTCTCATATATCACCCTCTAACCTAGTCTCATATAACACCCTCTAACATTGTCTCATATATCACCCACTAACCTTGTCTCATATATCACCCACTAACCTAGTCTCATATATCATCCTCTAACCTAGTCTCATATAACACCCACTAACCTAGTCTCATATAACACCCACTGACATAGTCTCATATATCACCCTCAAGCCTAGTCTCATATAACACCCTCTAACATTGTCTCATATATCACCCACTAACATTGTCTCATATATCACCCACTAACCTAGTCTCATATATCATCCTCTAACCTAGTCTCATATAACACCCACTAACCTAGTCTCATATAACACCCACTGACATAGTCTCATATATCACCCTCAAGCCTAGTCTCATATAACACCCTCTAACATTGTCTCATATATCACCCACTAACATTGTCTCATATATCACCCACTAACATTGTCTCATATATCACCCACTAACATAGTCTCACATATCACCCACTAACATAGTCTCATATATCACCCACTAACCTTGTCTCATATATCTCCCACGAACCTTGTCTCATATACGACCCACTAACCTAGTCTCATTTAACACCCACTAACCTAGTCTCATATATCACCCTCTAACCTAGTCTCATATAACACCCACTAACATAGTCTCATATATCACCCACTAACCTTGTCTCATATATCTCCCACTAACCTTGTCTCATATAACACCAACTAACCTAGTCTCATATAACACCCACTAACATAGTATCATATATCACCCACTAACCTAGTCTCATATATCACCCACTAACCTAGTCTCATATAACACCCACTAACATTGTCTCATATATCACCCACTAACCTAGTCTCATATAACACCCACTAACCTAGTCTCATATAACACCCACTAACCTAGTCTCATATAACACCCACTAACCTAGTCTCATATAACACCCACTAACATTGTCTCATATATCACCCACTAACCTTGTCTCATATATCTCCCACTAACCTAGTCTCATATAACACCCACTAACATAGTCTCATATATCACCCACTAACCTAGTCTCATATATCTCCCACTAACCTAGTCTCATATATCACCCACTAACCTAGTCTCATATATCACCCAATATGCCTAATCTCACATATCTCCCTGGTCTCATATATCAATAATATAATTTCATATATCCACCAATAAGCTAATCTCATATGTCCTCAATTACCATTCATCATATACACCACTAACATAGCCTCATAGACAACTAAGCTAATCACATGTATACCACAAACATATTCACATATATACTCCACCAATCCCTTCTATACATTCAACGTTTTGTTTGATACACTCAACGTACTGTTGCATACATCTTAGTGTGATATCTTCAACACATATATAGTGTATTTGACCCAGTTTCCCCTCGACAAGTATCCTGAAACGGTCCATTAGATCCAGAAGCCTTTACCCATAAGCCTAACGTACTCTTTTCAAATCCATGAAATACGAAGGACAGAGAACGCATTCTGCTACTTTCGACAATAAAATACTTACCTTCATTTTGCCTGATGAAACGCTGTCCAATCTGGAAGCAACATACACAAGTCATCATTCCTTCCTCAGCCACATGTTATTGCTGTCCTCGTAATATAATGTTCACCATAGGATGTACAACAGTTAACTCCTGGTAACGTACTGTTTCAAATGCAGAGTTCCATATGATTCATCGACTACTGACCCTCTCCTCACATCGTTGTCATTTTCTGTGACGTCATGTCCGTTAATGTCGAATATTTCCGTTTGAAAATATGTCATAAAAAGAACCGTTGTAACAACATGAAGAAATTTAGTTTACTCCCATTTGTGTCTCTTATCAATACTGTGCTTGTCTACATAAACCAATTCACCGCGATTCAAACACGAACAAAGGCTGCACTTCTATTCAGTACACAAAGAATATTTGGGTGTAACTTCTTTACACTTAGGCTTTTCGCGAGCACCTGCCGTAACTATTTGATAGTGATTTAACAACTAAGTATATGTTTCGCTGACGATGTATATTCGTACAGGTATCATAGTTTTGTTTTCGATCTCAACTTTGCAGTGTTTCTGCAGCCTAATATCATTATGAAATCGCTTTCTTTCTAATTTATATGTTGAAACCAATTTTAATGATGAACATCCATCTACGGAATGGGGATACCGTGGCATGCTTTCAGATAGTCCGACCACCTCACCCTGTTAGGGTTGTATGCACAAATGTATGTGTATTATTTCTTTTTTTTTCTTTTTTTATTCATGACATATAATATACATTGCTGGTTATGAAAAAAACATATAAACAAAATTATAAGCGTACAATCGCAAATCAAAAGTGCAATATTTTGTACGTGTATTATTTCTGTGTGCAGAAGTGAGGCGTTAATAAATTGTCTGTCCGTCCGGTAGTCGCCTCTTACGACAAGATGTACGATGACAACTGCGATGCTTAAGACGATTAATGCGACGAAGGATTCGTTAGATGTGAAGAACATTTATGACTGCACATAAGTCCCCAGGTAATATCCAGACAGATATTTCAGAGGTTTGATAACATAGAAATGAATGCATAAACTTTTCAATGAATTGCTTTCTTCATTGAATCCGGTCAAGCGAGGCTACTGTACAACGCCCAGTACTTCTTAATATATTGTACTTGAAGACCCCATTGTTACAAGATCAGTTATAAAATTCCCCTAACTTAGAGCAAATGATACCCGTTAGCTCTCCATGGTTGACAGGGTACTTTTTATTGTGAGGTTTTCATCCCAGGGTGTGTACAGATGTCTGCCTGACCTATTTGGAGGTCTCGCTGACATTAACAGAGTATGATAAACGCGATATACGGTTGTGTCCACAACGGAATATCGAGAAAAGCGAAGCCTAATAAATAGGTTTGCACCCCCTCTCTCACGAGACGCAAGTCTCGCAAAGCTAACATTATGGATGAACAATATACCCTGGTTATAATGCAACCGTTTGTCCAGGAGTAAATATCCAGTGTGGTATTATAACCAGGTAGGACAGTTAGAGGCCCTGAGTGGTTGAGCTGATGTCCCCTGTAATGAGCCATGAATGACTGGATAATCCCAACGTCTAGGGGATGCGGGTCACTTGTTGTATTAATCGTTGTCAATTAACCAATTGAGGCATGCATACTACATGCAGACAGTGTAGTTGCCATTATAACCAGGGGAAATTGACTTTTCTTCCAAAAGCCATTGTACATTATATCCTGGGTGGTGTAATAACCAGGGTGAACTGTATTAGATGAGAAATGTTCGGTTTGTTAAAGGTAGTCTTTCACATGCAATGAAAATACACAGAGAGAGAGAGAGGGTGGGAGGGTGGGGGGTGGAGAGCGGAGGAGAGAGAGAGGAGGGTGGAGGCGAGAGAGAGAGAGGAGGTGGAGAGCGGAGAGAGAGAGAGAAGGGGTCGGAGAGCGGAGGGGAGAGAGAGGAGGGTGGAGAGCGGAGAGAGAGAGAGAGAGGGGTGGAGAGAGGGAGAGAGAGAGGGGTGGAGAGTGGAGAGAGAGGGGTGGAGAGCGGAGAGAGAGAGAGAGAGGGGCTGGAGAGCGGAGAGAGAGAGACTGACTGACTGAGTTTAGTTTTACGCCGCTTTTAGCAATATTCCAGCAATATCACGGCGGGGGACACCAGAAATGGGCTTAACACATTGTGCCCATGTGGGGAATCGAACCCGGATCCTCGGCGTGACGAGCCAACGCTTTAAGGAGAGAGAGAGAGGGGGTGGAGAGCGGAGAGAGGGGGGTGGAGAACGGAGAGAGAGAGAGGGGTAGAGAGCGGAGAGAGAGAGAGGGGTAGAGAGCGGAGAGAGAGAGAGGGGGTAGAGAGGGGTAGAGAGCGGAGAGAGAGAGAGAGAGAGAGAGAGAGAGAGAGAGAGAGAGAGAGAGAGAGAGAGAGAGAGATGATTGTATCTCGGAATTCGAACCTGATATTTCGCTAACACTCTATCCACATGGCGTCGCCCTGGCAGGTTTTTCCACCCATTCAATGTTGATCAGCTGTTTGTCAAAACATACTATGCATGTATACTTCTAATGTCAATCTGCTTTTTGTTAACACATACTAAGTACAGAACTACATATACTTCTCATCATATGATTGTGGTCAACTTGTAGCTTGCTAACGGTATAAGACTCTACATCGAAACGTCGCTCAATGTAGTAAACGAGAAGTTGTCAATCATTAAGTTGAATGCTTCATTTTTCACTCATTCATTCAATGTGCACACAGTGAATATCTGCATGTGTTGCACTATGCCATCATTCGAAGCAATCCCTTGCTGCATTACACTGTGTTATCATTAAGGTTTCGACCACTTATCATGCAGTAGTCATACAATACATACTTATTGTGTAGGATGTTGTGTATTCGATACGGTGAGTGAGTGAATGATTTTAGTTTTACGCCACATTCAGCAATATTCCAGCTATATGGTTGCGGTCTGTAAATAATAGTCTGGACCACACAATCCAGTGATCAACAGCATGAGTATCGATCTACGCAATAGGGATACGATGACATGTGCCAACCAGTCAGCGAGGCTCGGCTACTGAAGATCCATTCTAACCCGGATCTTCACGGGTCTCGATATAAACAGCATATATAACATGGTCGCATCGCAATGGATGATATGCAATTTGTAATATAGGTACATATTATAGCATCGATTAATGCATGCACCAATACACCCGTATGTTCTTTTATAGATATACACATACATTATATGCATAAAATACTCTGACCCAGCCTACGGCGGATGAATGGCACATTCTTACCTACCTACCTACCTACCTACCTACCTACCTACCTACCTACCTACCTACCTACCTACCTATCTACCTGCCTATCTGCCTACCTACCTACCTCCTGCCTGCCTGCCTGCCTGCCTGCCTGCCTGCCTGCCTGCCTGCCTGCCTGCCTGCCTGCCTGCCTGCCTGCCTGCCTGCCTGCCTGCCTGCCTGCCTGCCTGCCTACCTTGTACTGAGTTTTAGCCATTATTAAATATAGCTTAACGCTGAGTGAAAAATGAAGCATACATCTTCATGGTTATAACCCAACCAGGGGGCTTGCATCGACCACACACCCATTTTGTCCGGACATATCGTCATCCATTTGTGTCAAGATCGTTCAGTTGAGAGTGAAAAACGGGTTTCAATCGACTTGCAGAGATAACAATAAAGAATTGGTAGGTGTCATGAGTGGTGATCGATAGGCCGATAATCCATGATTATGCCTACATTAAGTTTTAATCGATTGCATGCGATGGTAGCGTAGCGGTCGGCAAAGCAGGCGGGTAGAGTACACCGAAGTGTCCGGCCTTGTCATAATGTATGGTACTGTGAAGCATTTCGAGTCGGGGGTCATCTCAAATTTTCTATATATTTTCAAACTCTTTAATCCTCGCAAAGACACGCGGGCCTGTGCTTCCCAGTTGCCATCGTACCCATAAGAGGCGACTAACGGGATCGGGTGGTCAAACTGTCTGAAAGCATGCCACCGTATCCCAATTCCGTAGATGGATGTTCATGACGTAAATCACTGGATTGTCTGGTCCTGATTCGATTATTTACAGGCCGCCGTCACACGGATGGTATGTTATTGGGAAGTTAAGTTGCAAAGAAAATATACTCAGCAGCAAAAACAACAACAACGTCAGTACGAATTAAAAATTAGATAGGCACTGTAATCAAATCATTACAGAAATGGACATAATCAGTGGATCAAAAACATTTCTTGTGTACAATACAATATCTTGACACATCATGAATAAGTCAGCACAATTCCAAGACATTACGTGAACGTTTGCAGTCCATTCAGACTCTTGACTTCAGTATCTAGTGTGACCACCACGAGCGGCAATAACTGCAGCACAGCGTTTATGCATGGAATGCACCAATCGATTGATGAAGGCCATTGGCACCTTGAACCATACTCTGAGAAAGGCCTGGCGCAATAAATCGGCTGTGTTCGGCTTTGGTATGATATTATTTAGTCTCCTCTGAATTTCATCCCAAAGATGTTCAACTGGGTTTAAATCAGGACTAAGGGCTGGCCACTGCATAATGTTGACACCGTTCTGCTGTAGGAAGTCCCGTGTAGCTCTGGCAGTATGGGCCTGGGCATTATCATGCTGGAAAATGTAGTTCCGGTGACGTGCGAAATGTGGTATGACGTGGGGTCTGAGAGCTTGGTCGGTGTAGCGCACCGCTGTGATGCCGCCTCCTCTCCCTGGACCAAGGTTCTGGAACACCACAGGACCCACTCTCTGGTTCAGGCTTATTCAACTCCATACCATGATGCTTGCACCTCCCCGTGAGTCTCTTTCCATAACACATCGGTCTGAGTAACGCTGGCCACGTCGTCGCCATATTCTTGTTCTTCCATCTGCAGTTGATACGCAGTACCGACTCTCATCTGTAAACAGAACAGTTCTCCATTGCCTGTATCGCCAGTTTTGGTGTTGTATGGCAAACTGTAGACGTTCACGCCCGAATGACGAGGGGTGAGGATAGGTCCACGGTAAGGTATACGGCAAAGGAGGTTCCCGCTGGTAAGACGTCGGTGTACTGTATCAGTACTGATTGGTCTACCGTGTGTTCCCACTGTCTGGCGTGCTGTTTCGGATGCCTGTAATCCAGAAGGGATTATGTACATGCTGTCGCACAACATGGCGGTCTTCTCGTCTTGTGGTCACCCTTGGTCTGCCAGTACGGGGGCGATCATTCGTGGTGTTGGTGGCCCGGAAACGTTGCTGCAGCCTGTAGATGGTCCGAACGTTCACCTGGAGGTGATTGGCAACGGCTTATGCGGTGTGGCCAGCTTCAAGTCTTCCTAGCGCCTGGTTCCTCTGAGCTGTC